GATTGCCCAGAAATTACAAATGATCTCCAGGCTGCAGAGATCAGTTTGCCAGGAGAAAGTGGCTGCTTTGGAGGGTGGACACACTATGGCATTAAAGCCCGCTGAGGTCCCTCCTCATACCCCGCACTCCCCAGACTCCACCCCAAATCTCCAAGAATCTCCCAACACCAAGTTGGTAACCCTAGCTATATTGTTTCCCCCTTGCTCTCTTCTCTGCTGCTGCTGCTGTGGTGTAATATTAACACTTTGTTTTCATCTCATGGGGAAGGAGAGTGAGAGATGGGAGCCAGAGGCCGGGAGACAAATATGCTGTCCCTTTAATAAAGGCTTAATGTATGGAAATGAGCCAGTGAAGGTTTTGACTGGGCAGTTTTTCTTCCCCAGACATTTGGCAATCCATTGGTGCCCGAGGAATGAAGGAGGCTGGAAGAGCACAGGTGTTTAAGCGCATACATCTCCTCTTTTCATGTGGCACATTGCAGGAGGAAAACCCCGGAGCAGCCGTGGAGAACCCTGGACGCCCTATAAAAACCTGCTTAAAATGGTGTCTATTCCTTCGGGATTTTTCTCCAAGAAAAGGAGAGCCAAATCTTACCCTTTTCTAGCCCCCGGAGGTTTCTGTTGTGCTCTTTACTACCTGCATGTCCATAACTGCCAAGGGTCAGCACTTACTCTTGAGCAGATCCCCTAGCAGGGAATCATCTAGCCTCCAGCTTGACATGGCAGGGAAGCCTCCTTCCTTGGGAACAGCAATTCTTTGGCTCTAAACCACTTTATGAGAGCCAGTTTGGTGTAGTGGTTAAGTGCGTGGACTCTAATCTGGGAGAACCGGGTTTGATTCCCCACTCCTCCACTTGCACCTGCTGATGTGACCTTGGGTCAGTCACAAGCTCTGGCACAGCTGCCCTTGAAAAAGAGCAGTTTGTGTCAGAGTTCTCTCAGCCCCACCCACCTCACAGGGTGTCTGTTGTGGGGAGGGGAAGGGAAAAGGAGTTTGTAAGCCGCTCTGAGACTCCAAGTGAAGGGCGGGGTATAAATCCAATCTCTTCTTCTTCTTCTTCTCTTTTACTCCCGGAGGGAAAGGAGGCAGAGAAGATGCAGCTCTTTCCCCCTACAAGTGCAAGGCGCTAACCCACAAGCTGCTCTGTGGTTTGCATTTCAAAATAGCCTTCCAGTTACATGCCCTTGGTGGGGAACTGCTAACCGATCTGCCGCCTCTTTCTGCCATGTCACGGCGGCAAGCTCATGGGCGAGAAATTTCCAAGCAAAATTTCTGTCTAGCCAGCTGCTTAATAATGTGCTGATCTTCTAGTGCTAAAACTCAGAGGAGGGGGCCATGGCTCAGTAGTCGAGAGTCTGATCTGCATGCGGCGTGGCTTAGGCTTGCCAACCTCCAGGGGGCACCTGGAGATCTCCCGCAATTACAGTTGCTCTCCAGACGACCAAGATCAGTTTCCCCTGTAGACAGGGTTGCCAGGTCTGGGTTGGAAAATACCTGGGGACTTCGGGGGGTGGATCCGGGAGAGGGTGGGGTTTGGGGAGGGGAGGGTAGATTACTGTAATGTGTTTTGGGGGGCTGCCTATGAAGACTGTTTGAAAACTACAACTGACTCCCCCCCATGCAGTTGATTCATATAAGGTTGCCAACCTCCAGGTGGGGCCTGGGGATCTCCCAAAATCACACCTGATCCCCAGGCTACTGAGATCAGTTCCCCTGGAGAAAACGCCTGCTTTGGAGAGTGGACTCTATGGCATTTCACCCTGCTGAGGTCCCTCCCCTTCCCAAACCCCGCCCTCCCCAGGTTCCACCCCCACCCCAAATCTCCAAGAATTTCTCAACTCAGAACTAGAAACCCTAACGCCCAGGTTCTCTTTCTGACATCTCCAATTTAAAGGATCAGGGAATAGGTGACATGAAAGACCTCTACCTGGGACCCCGGAGAGTCACTTCCAGACAGAGTAGACCAGGCTGGCCTTGTGTGGATGGGCCGTTGCTCAGTGGTAGAGCACCTGCTTTGAAGACAGAAGGCCCCTGGTTCAGTCCCCAGATCGTTATTATTATCATCGTATGGCATTGTGTGTAGAGTAGCCAGGAGATCTTAAGATTGTCTGGCAGCAAGAAGTTCTAGCTTCTAAGATGGACAACACTTGTGGCTGCATTAACTGATCGAAAGAAAAAGGACAAACTGATGTGGATGTATCTGTGGGGTTTCAGTTCCACAGATCTTAAAAAGCCACCCAGGCAAACACCCCTCTCCATCAGTCTGATAGTTTGTTCAAGACAGGGTGGTACAGGTAGAAAACAAAACTGTATAACCTGGGCAATCCAGCAACATTGTCTGCATAGGTAAAGGTGAATGTTCCCTTGCTCGAAAGCCAGTCGAATCCGACTCTAGGGTTGCGGTGCTCATCTCCATTTCAAAGCCGAAGAGCCAGCGCTGTCCAAAGACGTTTCCGTGGTCATGTGGCCGGCATGACTAAACACCAAGGCGCACGGAACGCTGTTACTGAAGTGGTACCTATTTATCTACTTGCAATTTCTTGCTTTCGAACTGCTAGGTTGGCAGGAGCTGGAACTAGAGACAGGAGCTCACTCCGTCATGCGGCACACTCAGGTCTCGAACTGCTGAACTACCGACCTTCCACAGCCTGCAGTTCAGCATCTTAACCACTTGAGCCACCGCAGCTCATGCATACATGACACAAAATAAGACCTGCTGAGCCAGTGTGGTGTAATGGGCACTGTATCGGACAACGACTTGGGAGACCCAAGTCCAAATCCCCACTCTCCAAGTCAATTTGGTTCAGCTACCACTACCTTCAGCCTGATTACAGCCGTTTTGCGGACGACAAAACAGAGCAGGCAAGAACATGAAACTGCCTTATGCCAGTTGGCTATCCAGCTCGGTACTATCTATGCTGACAGGCAGTGGCTCTCCAGGATCTCAGATCACCCACTATTTGATTTTTCTAACTGGAAAAAACCGAGGATTGAATCTGGGACCATCGGCCTTCAGAGGAGATGCTCTGTCAATCAACCCTCACCAGTCACCTACACTGTGCTGACTGCTTTGAAGGAAGAGCAGTATACAAACAAATCTGGCATGGAGTAGCTAGATCCATCTCATGTATTGCTTCCTTGATACTTCCAGAAACACCTGCAACTTCAGGCTACCTGGGTAGGACAGAATGCCTGGTGTCTGTCCCACTGGTGCAGAGGTGCTCTGTAAGGACATGGGGAAGCTCTGCATACGTGGCTGGGAGTGACATGGGACCAACACGGGGTCAGCAATAGGGTTGCCAACCTCCAGGTGGGGCCCAGAGATATCCTGGTAATACAGCTGACCTCCAGACAGCAGAGATTAGCTCCCCTGGAGAACATGACTGTGGTCAAATGTGCCATTTGGCATGGTCAGGAAGCTCTCCTATTCCATCCGTTGGTATTTGGCATGGAATTGCTCAATCACACATCCCAGTATAATCTGTTTTGCTGCAGGCGCAGCCCGTCACTGCGCAATCAGATGGCACATTCAGGCGAGTGGAGGGGGTAGCCTTTTTTGTGCACATGCGCATAAACAAGGAATCAAACTCCCGCTTGAAGAGTTCTCCATGGAGTTCTCCATGGACCAATTAAGCGGTTATGCACATATCGCTAAGCTGGGGGGAAATGGCGCTAAGTTGGGATGGACCGAGCAGTCCATCCCGACAGCCTGAGCGTGCGCTTTAGTGATCAGACTAGGGAAAATCTGTCCGTGGCCCATTGGCAAGTGTTAGGACTGTTTCTGTGGCGGGACCGGCACGACTGTGGGACCTTTCCCAGATGTTGCAGTCTGATCATGCACTTTATATCAGTCAGGCATTCGCAGCTAAGTTGGACCTAAAGGCACGTCTGACCACAGCCCATGACTGCTTTGGAGGGTGGACTCTGTGGCACTGTACCCTGGTGAGGTCCCTCCCCTTCCCAAACCCTGCTCTTCCCAGACTCCACCCCCCAAATCTCCAGGTATTTCCCTACCTGAGCTGGCAACCCTGGTCAGCAATCTTACCATTCTGGATAATGTCAGAAGCAGGACACACAGGCAGAACTGGTGGAGGAATTAGGGCAGCTGAGCGTATAAGAAAACACTGCCAGATGGGAAATCGTGCCTTCAGTGGGGCTGCAGAATGGGGTTCAGCCATCCTCAGAGATGATACTGAGTTGTTTGGTCTCAAGTTGCTAGCAGGTGCAAGTAACTCACTGCCAAAACCGTGCTGCAGCTTCCTTTCCATTGTTCTCTCTCCCAGCTCCCCAGTGAAAGCTCTCTGGGGATTCCAAAGGGCTTGCTAAATGAATCTGTTATCTGAAAGGCAAAACAGGGTCTTGAAGCCCCAGAAAGACCATCAGATTGATTGCGGCCTAGGATGCCATGGGACAGAAGCCAGCTTTGTCCACTGCACCTCATGATGCAGCCATTCTGTAGGCGTAAGGGAAATTGCTTTCGTGTACATTAATGTCAAGACGTCTCACCATTTATATTTCAAAGACATAATTCAGATTCCGTTGCCGGGGTCTGTAGCCAGCCCCACTGCATCCCAGAGCCAGTAGTGATTGATGACACCCAACCTGCTCCTTCCAAGCGGCAAACGTTTCCTTTTAAAATGAAAGCGTCTGCATCTATATAAAAAAGAAAGAAAACTAGCTCAGAGCCAGTTCTGGCTTCTTCCTCCCGCAAATGCTGAAGGGCTGCTTGGCCCCTAAAAACCTCTGGCTCGGTGCTGAATGCCGGGCGTTGATCTGAAAGGCTGGTTAATGAGATTGTGCATAAGTAACGCTTTAGCCATCCAGTCATTTCTTGTTTGCTTTGAAAGCCACAAAACCCCCGAAAGGGAAATGGTGGAGAATAGTGGGAGGACGGTGACAAGAAACCTCATGACCTCATCCTTTCCGCCTCGTGAGGATTGGCTGGCTGATGTCTGGGGTAGAGTTTAAATTCCAGAGGGCTGCAGATGGCAGGCAGAGGCAGAGGAGGCAAGGCAGACACAGCATCTTTGGAGCACGTGATCCTGGTGTTCCTTGGAGCAGACTTCTTGCCTGAGACGACGCCCCGTCAGATCCAGATAAGGTAGCTGCCTTTTCTTCTTAGCTATCAACTTTGGCTGTGTTGTGCTTTCATTAAGATGAAAAGCAGGCTGGAGGGGGGGGCAGCTGGGAGAGCTTTTTAATATTGCAGCAGAGTCGAGAGAACTCAGGGCAGACTATTGAATTTTACTTTCCAACCCTTGTTGTCTGCACCGGGAGAATATTTAAACCTACAGGAAGGGAGAGGTTTTACAAGAGGGAGTTGGGCTGAACAGAAATGGTTTTAAAATCTCTTCCTGCAGTTTTGCCACTGACAATTTCTTGCACCACCCATCCCTAAATTTCTAAAACACTGAGGTTGAGGGGTTCAAAGCCAGGCAGGAAGTCAGATTCTGGGTTCTGGAAACTGGGGATGCCAAATGTTTTTTTTCTTCCAACTAGGGCTACTATGGATGGTGAGTGACTTGCACAATGTGCAGAAATGTGGCTAATGCAACTTTTCTGATCAGCATCTCCATGCTAGGGAAAGCCTCATTCGCTGACTCTCTGGCTTTCTTGCAAAGACACAAGAATCTTATTATGAAAAAGCACTGGCAACGATATGGGCTGCCACATATTTTGTTAGTCTTTCAGGTGTTTCTGGACTCTTGCTCTTTTCTACTGCCACAGACAGACTAACACGGCCACCCATCTTGATCTAACAATATGGGCAGTCCTTATCTCTAGCCTCAGAGACACAGGGGCATGTGATGATCATTCAGAGACACTGTATTGGCCTCCTTGGCTTGCCATACGCATGGCATTGCAGTTCAGCCTTAATTACCTTACGTTCCACACCCTAGTCTTCTCTTGGCGTTTTCTCTTGCTTGCAGCTGTTTGAAGGGTTTTGTATCTATGGAACTGCAATAAATCTCATGTTTTTTTTATTTTTTGGAAGCAGTCTCTCTTTTCAGAGGACATATCACTTTGCACATGCTCAGGGACACTTCATTATTACCAATGCTTTGTATGAGGCTCAGATTATGCTCTATCAGACCATGCCTGATAAAGGGAGCACTGCCTCTCGAAAACTTATACCCTGCAAATCTTGTGGTCTCTTGGGTGCTACTGGATTCGAGTTGAGCTCTCCCACTGTGCACCAGCCCTGCTACTCTCCTGAAACGAAAACCATGCCAGTTGCTCTAACATTATTATTCACACACCGTCTCTTTAATCAATTATGTGTTTTTTGCTAAAAGCCAATTTAGTTCCCTAGCTTTTAAGCTCCAAAAGGTATGGTTATTCTCCCACCCATCCACCCCCGCTCTTCAAGAGCTCACTTAGATACGTTTTGATGCAATGCTCTGACATCGTTTCTCTTTGTGTACCGGAGTATTGGAGCTCATTAACCTTTGTTAGCAGAAGGGCAAACACTGTAACCTGTGCCAATCCCCCCATCAGCCTGGCTAATGTTCCATCATGATTCATCAGTTTCTGATATTCCTGAGCCCTGATTCATCGTTTTTTTTTCCTCCTGCAGAGTCAGCTGAGTCCTGGTTTCTTTCCTGACTTAGAACATTTGTCTCGCTGTCTTTAAATGTCTTGGAAGGAAGGATGAATCAATCATAAAACCTGTTTACAGGACTAGCAGAAAGCCTGTTTTTTTAAATTCCATTTCTAGTCACATTAAGGTTCAAGGAGATCAGAGGGAGAAAATCAGCTTGTTGTACCGCCAGAAAAACCCCATGGAAAGCATCCCTTTTTGCTGGAATTTCTATGAAGTTTTATATCCTCTGCCACATTTTATAACTGAATCGGCTTTTATAAGCCCTTCTCATCAGCTTCGCTATCCCGCCGTGGTGCAGTGGTGTGTCATTTCTGGGACAGTCTGGAAATGCCGCATTCATCTCCCAGATCTAAATTAAAATTAGCCCCGCTTCTTCTGGAATAAGCAATAAAAAGCATAGTTAAGTAAGAGTAATTTGCACTGAGCTCCGACTTGAATGGCCCAGGCTAGTCCAGTCTCATCAGATCTTGGAAGCTAAGCAAAGCCAGGCCTGGTTAGTACTTGGATGGGAGACCACCAGGGAATGTCCTGGGTTGCTATGCAGAGGCAGGCAATGGCAGACCACCTCTGAATGTCTCTTGCCTAGAAACCCCCATGAGTGTTCACCAAGTCAGCTGCTAGGTTGCAGTCCAGTAGCATCTTGGAGACCAAAATTCTTGGGGGGGGGCATAAGCTTTTGAGAGGCCAAGCTCCCTTCATCATAACTCAGCTGTGACGCGACAGCACTTTCCTCCACCACCAATCTGAATGGAGGAAAAATCCTTTTTCTGGTCTGGTAAACCTTAAACGTCATATGAAGACTGAATCTCACTCTTCACACCATTCACCCAGCAGCACCAAACCATGACATTCCATAAGATGCTTAGAAAACGAATAGCGTTATGTGACTTGAGCAAGTGAGCCAAGCTACATACTGGGAAAATGCATTTTTGCTTTACCAGCTTTCTATGATAAAGTGCTCTGTGTTTATTTGCCTAGGATGTTACTTATATTATTTGTCAGCTCTTTTTGGCTCATTGGTAGAAATCAGGGAACCCTCCATCCTCCTAGCTCAGAATCGTCAGCCCTGACTGGCAACTGCGCTCCAGGATCGAAGGCCAAGGAGAGTCTTTGCCAAGACCTGTTACCTGAGAGTTCAAGGACTTAATCCTGCACCTTCTGCATACAAAGCGTGTGCGAAGCGTCTAATCCAAAGCCCCTCCCTTGACATTTCTGTGACTTTTTTGTAAAGTGCTCTTCCTCAGGTAGAGTGGCCAGCTCTGGGTTGGGAAATCCCCGTAGATTTGGGGGAGGAGCCTGGGGACGGAGGGGTTTTGGCAGGGGAGTCACCTCAGGTGGATATAATGCCACAGAGTCCACCCTCCAAAGCAGCCATTTTCTCTGGGGGAACTGATCTCTGTTGTGTGGAGATCAGTTGAAATTCCGGGAGCTTCCCAGGCCCCACCTGGAGGCTGGAAGCCCTAAGACACGTCAGCTTGGAAAAGCTGAGTCACCCATGGAAAATGTTAAACTCTGATCCAAACATTAAGACATTATATTAGGGTTGCCAGCCTCCAGTTGGGGCCTGGGGATCTCCCGCTTTTACCACTGATCCCCAGCCAACAGAAATCAGCTCCCCTGGAGAAAATGGCTGCTTTGAAGGGTGGACTCTG